TGTATATGGTAAAAATGTTTCTCGTTTAACAAGTAATGCATAAGGACCTTTTACTGTTTTCATATAATGTTTAGCTGTTTCAAGTGCTTGACCAGCATCATCATGATTATTCGGTAATGATTGAAAAGGAATACCGAGTGCAGCTAAAAAAATACATATTGTATTTAAAGTTTTAATAAATAATATTTTCTCACCAAGAAGACTAGGTGTTGCAGGTCCCTGAACACGATGTTGTGGTTCATCTGGTTTACCTGGTTCACCACGCCAACCTATTAGTAACAACATTGGTAAACCATAAATACTTGGTGTTGCAAGAGATATAATAGGATTAATAATATTGCCCAAACCAGAATTCTGACAAAAAAATTTAAATTTCTTTAAATTAAAAAGTTTATATTTACTTGTAAATAGACTAATGAAGGTTGTCCTGTTGCCATATATGAACCACAAGCAAGACCAATAGCAGATCCTTCATTGGCAGTAATAATATGATGGCTAGACGGAACATTTTTTGTTACGTACGCACAAAAATCTTAATCAATTAAGTATAATTCTATTGATTTGAAAATTTATATATGTATACCTTTGAGTAAAGAATCTGGTACACCACAAAAAAAGTTAATACCACAGATTGTTTTTATTTGTTGATAAAATTCAGCTGGATCAAGAAAATCACGAATTAATTGAGGCATATCTCGTATTTCTTCATTTCGTTTCTGTTGTTCTTTTAATTGCTATTAAATAAATGATGATAATACTATGAATCCATTATAGAACTTCGAATAGGATGGAATAAAACAAAGTTCTTATCCTATGAGATTTCATTCTTAATTTTCTCTGATAATCTGACCTATGATATCACACTTCAACTAACATTATAAGAATAAAATATGCAACAGAGCTTGCTTGATTATCATATACCAATGATTATTAATTTTCTTTTTGTTTTTCTTCTCTAGTATCTATTAATACCTCATCGTCTATACATACACATAAAAATCATTACTAATAAACGATACATACTTGTTCAATATTTTCAGATGTTGTTTCAATAACAAGACTATCAGATCGTACTTCGTCTTCAGCTTCTTCTCGATTTTCACGAAAACATGTAGACCATTCTTCAATAGTCTTCAGAGAAGGCGTTTCATCACCACAAACAAAACATAGTTCTTCGTGAATATCTTTGGCTTGAATATTAAGTGCAGTACGCACTTTAATGTAGAAGCGAAAATTTTCTTTATTCATCTAAAACAGAGATGAATATTGTCAAGATTTAATCGAATGTTATTTTTTAAGTTTCTTGAGAGACGAATGTCTAAAGATTAAGGAATATGAGTTTCTGTTCAATTCTCCCACAGTTTCTTGAATACTACAATGAAAAACAAAATATAGTATCCACGATATTTTTTTACTCTCATATTCAAATAGTCCTAGCAACGTTGACAAATCTTCTGCAAATTAAGAATCCATTTTTCTCAGTTCCTGAACATCTTTAGATCAAATCTCGTATTTTGTTCAGTAGTAATACGATTGACAGGTATTTTCGTTTTATTTTTAAATAAAAATAATGAGCAAGAAGTCACCCTACTCTCATCGTTAATTTTTTTACGTATTGAGGTTAATTTAGCAAATCAAAATTCGAAAATAGAACTGTATTTTCGATATTATATATATGTTACATTATTTAAATACGACATATTGCCAATAATGATTACATTGATTTGCTGATTCTTGACGATTTCTATAATCAATCGTCTTGAACTATTATTTCATATTGTCGATTAGATGTAGGAAAGATCGAAAGGAAAAATATCGAATATTCAATGAACAAGACATTCTTAATTTTTGACATGATACTAACATTATAATACAGACTACACACAAGTCACGAAATAAAAAGAAAAGAAAATTTTAGAAAGTTTTATTTTTTTTTTGTTTAGCAACTATAGATGACAAACCACCTAGATATTCCATTATATTTACCAGCTCATTATAATAGCGTTCATTAAAATTATTTATACATTGTTGAATTGTTATTATTTTACTCTTGTAGTGAAGTGAGTATATATTCTTTTTCTAGAGATTGACAGTCACATTGTAATCAATTGATCATTCGAATTTTATGAAAACTTTCAATAAGCTTACATATCGAAAACAGCTGTTTGATATGATAATATATTTTCATTTGTATAATACTATTTTATTTTTCTGATTATTCTAGCTAGCTCTTTTCTGTCAAATATTACTCATCATCTTTACTAATGGCTATATCACGAAACCAATAGAATGAGTAGAACAATAATAATAACGATAGACGATATAAGTTAGCGTTTACTAGAGACAACTTTTGTTTCAACATTTTTCTTTTCAATCTTTCTATTACTAGAGCTAAAAATGTTTTTTAGTACTCTGACAAATAATACGAAAATTAGATTCTAAGATAAATAAATAATAAATCATTATAATACGCAAAATGATCTATAGATTCTTTGATATATCATTGAAACTTTTGAGGACGAAATTTTATTTTAACTGTCACCATCCTGGCATAAAAATGATGTATTAGGTTTATAATAATTTTAGACATTCAAACTCAATTTGCAGAAATGTTCTTTTTCAAGTTCTTTTATATACGTTATCTTCCATAGTTTTACCCATTGTTTCAAGTGAATAGATTATTTGATAAAGTCAAAAACAATTTGACTTCATCAATGAGACCAGAAAAAGAAGAATCAAAGTCTTCTAATATATTCTCGAAGGTCAATATGTCTATCAAAAAAAAAGAGACACATGATGATGATACTCTACAGTATCAGCAAGAACAACGAATATCTGACAAGAATGAAAGAAAGAAAAAGGATGTTGTGGGTGCACACTTTAACTAACTCCGGACCACACTCTCAAGAATGACCGAGATCAGAATTGAACAATTCAATGCAAAAAGGTCGATTCAACTTAGTTCAAATCTTAAATTGAGTGTAATCACATCATAACAATTTTCAAAATTGATGAATTCAGTTGAGCTGAATTGACTAAAACATTTCAAAAATTGCAAGTTTAGTCAAAAAACTCTGTTTGAGTGAATTAAATTAAATTGCTTGTAGTTAGTCGTCTGTATATCCTGGATGACTCACTCTGACTGAGATCTTAACAATCTTTAACCGTCTCAATTAACTTTCATTCCTATCAGAAACTCTTAATTCAAACAAAATTATAGTCTTTGAAATGAAACAATATCCTTATAGCTAATGTAATAATATCCGCCAATTTTTGAGCAATACTTTGATGAACAGTTAATGAATAAGCTTTTGTATCTTTTATTT